TCCCAATATGTCTTTCCCGGATTCACCATGAATCTACTAACCATACTGACGGCCTGTGAAATATCTGAACGTGTACACACCATTGCATACATCAAACTGCTAACTGTATTAGCATAAGGTACACGCTTCATGTGTGCCTTCTCTTTCGTTGTAGTGGAAGATTGTTTGCCTGAAAGCCTGAAGTGTGGAGCCAATGGAGTCACCACTGACTTAGCACTTTACATTCCGAACCTCGTGATCACCCGCTCTATATAGCCCTTCTGACTCAAGAACAATCGTCGATTCGCCCACTCTCTTCTAATCTCCATACCCAGTATTTTCCTTGTAACGCCCATATCCTTCATCTCGAACTTTTTATCAAGTTAAGATTTTAGTCTATCTATCTCCACCTTGCTCCTCGAAGCAATAAGCATATCATCCATATACAAAAAAAGATAGATATAATCACCTCTATGAAGCTTTCGAATGTAGACAGAACAATCATAGTCGCTTCTGGAAAACTCATGCTTCAACATGAATGAGTCAAATCGCTTGTACTACTGTCGAGGAGATTGCTTCAATCCATATAGTGATTTCCTCAAGCGACATACATGATGTCCTTATCCTCAACCTTATAGCCCTCAGGTTGATGAATATAGATCTCTTCATCTAAGTTTCCATGCAAGAAGGTCGTCTTTACATCAAGTTGTTCCAGCTCAAGATCACCATGAGCAACAATACTCAATAGCACCCGAATAAAAACGTGTTTCACCACCGGAAAAAATATCTCATTGTAATCAACATTTGTGCAAACTTTTTAGCCACTAGCCTCGCCTTATACATTATACCACCGAGCTCTGAAGGATCTTCCTTTCTCTTATACACCTACTTACAACCAATAGCTTTCTTTCCTAGGGGCAATGGGACCACCTCCCATGTTTGGTTCTTCCGGAGAGATTCTATCTCCTCCTCCATCGTGACCAATCAACTCTCGCTATCTCTATCCCGAATAGCTTCCTTGAAGGAGACCGGCTCATCTTCCTCCACCGAGAGTGCGAACTCAACCAAATTAATCTGCCCATAGTGCTTCAGGGGTTGATCAGCCCCCAGCTTCTGTACCTGCTTGTATGCTCGTCTTGGCCTAGTGAAAGTCAAGCTATTCTCGAGCTGCTGTTGTTATAGTGGCTGTGTATTCTCCTACTGAACCTCCTCCTGCTCAAGCTCATCATCTATCTGATTTCTCACTTGAACACGACTAGAACCTGATTGGTATTTAGGTTCTATATCAATAACCTGGGATTTAGAATTCCCAATAGTCTCAACACCATCATCCTTGGACACCCTAACAATCATAGACTTTCTCATCAAAGGTAACGTCCCTGCTGATCACAAACTTTGAATCTTCTGTACACCAAAGGCAATAGCCTTTTACACCCTTTGCACACCCCAAAAAAATTACCTCCTTGGTCCTCGCGTCAAGCCTTCCTTCGTTAACGTGATAGTAGGCGGTACACCCGAAAATTCAAAGCCTCTCATAATCTGCATGTTCCCCTGACCACACCCAATAGGGTGTATCATCATCCAATATAAAATATGGGGATCGATTCACAATATAGCAAGCTGTAGCAATTGACTCTGTCCACTATTCTTTACCTAAATCAGCATATGATCGCATACTCACTACTTTCTCCCGCAGTGTTCGGTTCAGTCTCTACGCGACCCTATTTTGTTGTGGTGTCGATCTAATTGTCCAATGTCTGGCAATCCCCTCTTGATCACAGAACTCCTTAAAAGCATCATCTGTATACTCTGTACCGTTGTCAGATCTTAATGTCTTCAATTTCTTTCCTATCATGTTCTTAACTATCGCCTTCCACTTCTTGAATATCTCAAATACCTCATTCTTATGCTTCAGAAAATAAATCCAAGCATATCTGGAATGATCATTTATGAATGAGACAAAATATCTAGAACCACTATTGGAAGTTGTCAAAATCGGACCCCAAACATCCGTGTGCACATAGCTAGTATCCCTCTGCTCTTGTGATTGCTTGTCAGAAACCGGACCCTATGTGCCTTTCCATACACACAGTCCTCGTAAAAATCCATACAAGGCTTCTTCAGATTCTTTAACAAACCATCCTTACCGAGCAGATCTAGATCATTCTCTGACATGTGTCCAAGCCGTCTATGTCATAACCGTGTGTGCTCATATGGGTCTCCACCACTTTCATCAGTTCCAACAGCTGCATCTCATGTCACCGTCATACCCAAGAGAGTATATAAGTTACCGTGACGAATGCCCTTCATCGCTACTAAGGAATCCGAACAACCCTTTTCACTCTGTTCTCTGTTATAATCTTACAATCCCCGGAGTCCAAAGAACCAACTGAGATAAGATTCTTCCGCAAATCAGGAACGTGTTTTACATTCGTCAAGGTTCGAACCACTCCATCATGCATCTTGATCTTGATATCACCTAGCCCGACTATTTTACAAGCATGGTTGTTCCCCATTAATACGGTTCCACCATCAATGCTCCTTTAGATAGTAAACAACTTCCTATTTAGATACATGTGGTAAGAGCAACCAGAATCAAGTATCCACTTCCCGGAGATATCCTCGTCACCCGTGACGACATAGCATTCCTTATCGCTACCTTTCACTGAAACGTAGCTCGCCTCTTCCTTACCTTCTCGTCTTTCAGTATTGTTGTTATCAAGGTTTTAAATATCGGTTATCGGGGATTTATCGGACGACCAAAATCCTTATCGGATAGCGGAAATCGGGGATATATCGGGGATAAGTAGTATTTATCGGAGTGATATACTGGATGATGTGTATATATAATATAACAATTAAAAAATATAATCTAATCATGCTTAATAAAATATAAACATACCAAAATGTAAATCATCATGTTTAGAATCATTAACCAATTGTAGAAAGCGAAACTTGCATCATAGCCTTGAAAAAAATATAATGTTAGTCAAAATGAGCCGATAATCCCGATAATCCCGATAAAAAGGTCTTACTTATCGGCCGATAAGTGCCGATAACGCCGATAAATCGCCGATAAACCTAGAAAAACGATAACTGATTAAAAATCCAATTTATCCTAGCGGAGAGCTCCCAAATCCGATAACTCGGCCGATAATATCGATTATCGGCCGATATTTAAAACAATGGTTGTTATTCTTCTTCCCACCTACTCTCTTGTTAGGACAATTGACTTTGAAATGTCCTAGCTAGGACAATTAACTTTGAAATGTCCTAGCTCACCGTATTTGAAACACGATCTTTCCGCAAGAGGTCTTGATTTTGATGTAGACTTTCCTCCTTTGCCTTTTTCTCGCTCATTGCCCTTTCCTCTAGCAAAAAACTCATGCGCTTGTTTTTTGTTACCACCAATGGTCATATCACTAGTTGTAATTTTTCGAAGATCATTTGCTAGAAGCGTCGTTCTAGTCTCATCCATCGACAAACTGTCACCCACAAGTATCAGTATTTGAACTAAATTCTCATAAGACTTCGGCAGAGCTAGAAGTAGTAGAAGTGTCTGATCCTCGTCTTCCACTGTCACCTCAATGTCTTTCAAATCCGATAAGATCCTATCGAACTTGTTGATGTACTCCCGGATTGACGAGCCTTCCTCCATCTTGTAAGTGTATGATTTGGATTTTAAATAGATTCGGTTTGTTAGACTCTTCGTCATGAAGATGCTCTCTAACTTTAACCACACGTCCGCAGTCGTTTCCTCTCCTTCCACCAAGAAAGTCACATCCCTTTCAAGACATAGGATAATCGACGCTCATGCTTCCAAATCTAGCTCTTCGCAATCCTCATCAGACATGTCCTTATGTTTCTTCTCTTTTCCCGCCAAAGCTCTGTGTAACTTTTGCGAAATCAATGAATTTTTCATTTGCATCATTCAATAAGAAAAATCATTCTTCCCATTGAATTTTTTAATCTCGTACTTTCTAACTTTAACTGTTTTACTTATAGACGTCATTCTCCACTTGTATAAATAAATTTGTTTCTCTTAGGAATTCCAACAAATACTTTGTGTTCACCATATAATAATCAAGCATCACCTAAGATCAGAAATTTTACCACCTCCAATCTAAATAAAGGGTTCTGATAACAATTGTTGGGCGTAGAGTCACGCCCTCACATCACGAAAGCGATATCACCTGAGAGAGAATCCTGGTTTTTGTTTTCACAAAAGCTCAAGTCAACCTTTATATTCGCGTTTCTCTAAGGAAACAAGAACAGAAAGTGAAATACTCAACAAAGTGGGGTATACACTCCTCTTTCTCTCAGCAGTTCTAGGACTGAATGTCGAGGGGACCTACAAGCAATAACCAACTCTTGTTCCAGCTCAACCTCTCATCAGTTCTAGGACTGACTTGTCAAGGGAACCGACAAGCAAAACCAACTCACAGTTAAGACACAAAATTTACGTGGTTCGGCAAACTTGCCTACGTCCACGGGAGGGATTTCACTATGAGGAGAATACCAAACTTGTACAACAACCCACAAGTTCTCTCTTCTCACTTCCTCTCAAGTTTCTCACACTCGCTCAAGATTTTCCCCACACACTCTGCTCTCTTCCTCCCTTCTATTATAGGCAAAGAAGAGGGGACAAGAGAGCATGGGTGAGCATGGGTGAGCATGGGCATTGACAAGAGAGCATGGGCAATGGGCATGGGGAGCATGGTGGGCATGGGGTGTCCACCATCTCTTGTCCCCCCCATCCCTTGTCCTCTCTTGTTCACAAGATTCATATTATTGGCATGCAAACTTGAAGTTCGGATAGACTGTTGTAGGCACGATAAGAAGAAACTTACTTGCGTGTGGATGAACTTTGGGAATCTGAATTATCTTCTTGGATCCTAACTGAATCATCTTTCAGCATTTATACCTCTCTTTACAGCCTAGACGGTTTAAATTTTCTTGGTTCACATTGATACTAGCGGCTTCTGAAAATGTTAAGCTCAATCATCTAAACCTTGTTACAGATTAGCTTCACTGGAGTTTTGCTCCCTGCAGTATCACTAGCATATATTGGGCAAGCTGCATATCTAACAAAATTTCCAGAAAATGTTGCTGATACTTTCTATAAATCACTTCCAGGTAATTATATCTAATTCGAATACAAAGAGACCTCATATTGACTATATGACAGGCTTCATGATAGAGATACCTTCCTTCATTGCAGGTCCACTATTCTGGCCGACATTTGTAGTAGCTGTTGCCGCTGCCATCATTGCAAGTCAAGCTGTGATATCTTGTGTATTTTCAATCATAGCACAGGCCCAAACTCTAGGTTGCTTCCCAAGAGTGAAGGTTATCCACACTTCTGCTAAGTATGAAGGGCAAGTGTACATTCCTGAATTAAACTTTGCGCTGATGATCGCTTGCATAATAGTTACGGGGACCTTCAGAACTACTGAAAATATTGGACATGCCTATGGTAAGGATACAGCATTAACATTATTCATATCAGGATTAACCAATCATTGTTGTCATCTATAATAAATATAATTCACATAACTAGAGATTCATACATGCACAAGTTAGATGTGGTACGCATCTTCCTATGGTAATATGAATAATGCATCCATACTATGTTGGAGATATATAGCAACTGCGGAGTTGTCAGATGTTTGAAAAACCATTTTAAAAATCAGAGCATATACGAGAAGCTTACAAAGCAAGAGAGCTCAGACATCAGCATAGGAAACTGTAGATTAAAATTATACGAGCAATCCTAGCTACAGCCGCGCCACACTCGCGCTGTGGCTGAGACGTGTGCACTCGCGCTGTGGCTGGGACATGTGCCCCCTACAAGGACATGTAGGGATACATGTCCCTGCTACAGCACGAGTGCTGTGCACTCATGACTGTAGCTAGCACTCCTCAAACTATAGTACTTGTTTTATGATGCATTTATATTGAAAACCCACACTGTCCTCAGCAAATCATATCGCTGCAATAGGAGTATAAACTTGCTTATGCATAAATCCCGCATCTTTTGCCAAACATGATTGTTCTATTTCTTTCTGCAGGAATCGCGGTTCTTTGTGATATGACAATCACAACACTCTTGGTGACTCTAATAATGCTCGTCATATGGCAAAAGAGCATTTGGCAAATATTATTGTTCTTCACTGTGTTTGCTGGAGCAGAGCTGACATATCTATCTTCAGTCCTATCCAAATTTACCCAAGGTGGATACCTACCACTGGTCTTCTCTTTTTTCCTGATGCAGATAATGGCTATATGGCACTATGTGCATGTAAAAAGGTACATGTTTGAGGTTGAGAACAAGATCTCCAGCAGTTATATAAAAGATGTGGCTCTTAGCAAGGACATAAACAGAATATCTGGAATTGGATTTCTATATTCGGAACTAGTTGAAGGCATTCCTCCAATCTTTGCCCACTTTATCGAGAAAGTACCTTCCATTCATTCAGTCTTGGTGTTTGTTTCAGTGAAACACATTCCAATCCCTAAAGTAGAGATCCAGGAACGTTTTCTTTTCAGACAAGTGGAGCCAAAAGCATCTAAAATTTATCGATGTGTGGTGCGCTATGGGTATAAAGATGCCATAGAAGAATCCAGGGAGTTTGAAAGCATGCTAATTGATCAATTAAAGAACTTCATCCACAATGAATACTTCATTATGGGAAGTTGGCGAGCAAGGCAAAGCAGTCGTGTGCAAGCGGAAGTAAGTTCAAAAGGATCTTCCCTAGTGCATGTGGAGGAAAACATGATGGTAGAGAATTCACCTCGTGTTTCTTCAGGATCAATACAGGCAGCAGCCGGCAATCAACAAGCAAGCATTACTGCCCACATTCAGAGTGTTGAAGATGAGAAACAGTTTGTTCAGAGAGAGATGGAGAAAGGGGTAGTGTATCTATTAGGAGAAACTGAAGTCGTGGCAGGAAACAATTCTTCTTTTCTAAAGAGAGTAGTCGTCAACTACGTCTACAGCTTTATGAGGAAAAACTTCAGGCAGGGAGGAGATGTTATGATGATTCCTCGCAGTAGGCTGCTCAAGGTGGGAATGACCTATGAGATATAAGCTAACCGTCATGCCCTGAATTGTCTATATGTTTCTATTTCTTGTACTTCTAAACCGGTGTGATTAATGTGAAATGCATAATAAATTCGTGCAGTTCTCTCCCTACATGTTGCTTTGGTTGGTACCGGGTGAGGAGAACTAAAAAACACCTAGTGGATAGTAATGGATCGATTTCAGCTTTGAACAATATTAGTACAACAACTGCTTCTTTCTTTCTTTTTTCTTTTTAAAGCATCGCAATACTGTGCGATGTTCTTATGTTACAATATCAGAATTATACTCATTTCCTTGACCTCAAATACCAAGTGTATTTATCCATAAATATACCATGCTCTAATCCCAGAGGAACAAAATTCCTAGCCCGGTTTCGCTTAAACTAACCAACAATCTGAAGTCCGAAAACTAAACCTGATTATTAATGACTAATTCCATTCATGATCAGCCAGGAGATAATAACGTTCAGAACACCTAAGCAATATATCCGTTAATGTCTATTTTCCCCACCTCAGGTCTATAAAAATCCCAAAGTTAAAAAAATTGCACCAAAGATATCAAATTCCCAAGTCACGTCAATGAAAATGAGGAGAAGTACCATAAAAATTATCCCGAGTCTTCAAGGAATCCAGCAGCAGCTGAAGCGTCCTCTGCAATAACAAACTAAGAACAGTCAAATAAAAGGCGTTGTAAGCTAATTAACTTTCGATAAAAAGAAACGAAATGCTCTCTCTTTTTCAGGATAATGGGCATATAAGAAAATCACATAAATCGAACAAGGGCTCCTCCTTTCATGAATTTCATCGAACAGATTCAAGGCGTTAGTTGGCAATGAACATTTTAAACTCAACAAGCATGATCACAACGGAAGAGAAATAGAATGACTTCAAAATTGGAAATTACGCACAAAAAATTATCGATGACGAGCATTGAAAGTCTACCACAGTAACGACGGAGTTCACAGCGAATAGCCCATTTGATTATTTTGTTTTTGTTAGGGTTTTTTTTTTTTTCCACCCCTTCGTTAGGATTGAACTTTTTTTTTATGAGGCTTACTAAAGCTTTGTCATGATTAAATTGATATGGAGTTAACCCGTTTGGATGGATGTATCTATTAAAAGTAAGAAGTTGATCAAAGATGTAACTTTCTCAATTATGAAGTAGAAAGTAGCGGAAGTAGTACTTATTTTGTTTCTTTCATATATTTTTAGAAGTAGCGGAAATAATACTTCATCATCTTCTGGATAGAAATTAGATATATTATTTAGGATCATATGTTCTTGGTAAATCTCTAATTTAAGTGGACCTTATTTTTTATCCACTTCCTCCCTATTTCTAAGTTTTTAAGGGCGGAAAAAATTTTAGGAAGTAGGAGTGTCATCTAGACGTCACATCTGCATTTATGGAAGTCGTTGAAGTAGTCTTTTCAGAGAAACAAACATAATTTTTTGCTTGAAGTAGGAGAAACTTCTTCTACTTCAGTTACTTCTTTGCTACTTTCGTGCAAACAAACATGCCCTAAGGGAAGGGACTAAAACTTCAATAATGGGAATGGAAGTGAAAAGATAAAATGCTATTTGAGAGTTTAGTTAGGAGAACGGAAGTAAATTTATTTTATATTGTTTGAGAGTTTTAATAAAGAGGAAGGAAGTAAAGTGAATATAGTCAAAGTTATATATATATACCTTATATATTATTAAGATATTTTGTTAACTAGTGAATGATAAAAAAAAGATATAGCTATTATTATTATTATTGATATTATTATTATTATTATTATTATTATTATTATTATTATTATTATTATTATAACTACTGCTACTATTATTGTTGTCGTTGTTGTTGTTGCTGTTAACTAGTGAATTTCCTTTGCTAGAGCTTGTCAAAATAACATGAGTTAACATAAAATAATTTAAAAAACCACAATATAGAGTCATCATATTTCTAATATATAAAGTTTACAAATAACAAGCATTCCATATATGTTCTTGTTGTGCGCAGCGGAAATTTCGGCAGAGTTTCTGGTGCACAATAATAGAGAAAGATCCCAATAAGAATTCCCGTCTCACCAAGGAGACAAGAATCTGAAGCGAATATCTCAACAAAATGAGATATCGGCTCTTCCTCTCATCAGTTCTAGGACTGGAAGCGAATATCTCAACAAAATGAGATATCGGCTCTTCCTCTCATCAGTTCTAGGACTGACTTGTTGAGGGATCCTAAAACTATTACAATGGCCACAAACACAAACAAACCAATTTTTACGTGGTTCGGCAAACTGCCTACGTCCACGGGGCAAGGAGGGGGGATCTACTATTAGAGAGAAAAAGAATACAAATGGGTTTACAACTCTCACAATCTAAACCCTCAAATAGGCTCATTGCTTTTCTTCTCATAAAAAGGTCAGCCTCCAAAATTCTTTTTCTCTTCACAAAGCCCTAGGATTTCCCCTGCTGCAGTCGCCAAAACAGAAGCCTTCTTTTGCTTTTTCTCCGTAGCCGCAAAACCCTGTCCTTTGCCCAGCCCTTGCGCGCCCGAAAAAACACAGCCTTCTGCTCCTTTTCCCGCAGCCTCACAATTGCACTGTACTTGCTCTAAAACCCTAGGAGAAAACCAGGGCTTTATTTATAGCTGGTGTACATGCTCGGGTAGGCCTGCTGTCTCCGCTCACGAGGAGAAATCTCCTCACGCGTTCAATCATGAACGTGGGTGTGGCCCACGTTCAAACAACTTGAACGTGGGTGTGGCCCTTATCTCCTTACACGTTCAAACCTGAACATTGTTTTCGTCGAAAGTTGGTTTTATTGTGGAATTCATTATATCTTCGATCGATTACAATAAATTCAAAAAAAATAGTCTTTTTATAAGACCTCTTTTACACAATAAAAGAAAAATTATAACTTTCTAGAAAATAACACAAAAATCGTTTATCGATTCCTATTTTGTGGGACTTTGCCTGTGCCGAGAGTGCTTTGACTCGTGGACCACCGATTCACAGATTCTGATTGAATCGTGAAGGTTTTGGAGATTCTTCCTTCGTTTATCGAAATAAGAATTTAAAGAGAATATCTTATCGATGTAAGATGTTCACTCTTCTAAAGATCAAGTCAGAGCTTAGATCTCTAGGAATGACCAAAAGCTTCTTAAGGATGTTTGTGAAGAAGAAAGACTCTCTCTCTTGCTCCTATTCACAAAAAGCTCAAGTCTCTCTGCCTTAATTGCTCTCTCCCCCTTTATTTCGTGTCTAGGGAGGTATTTATAGGGGTATGAGTGCACAACAGTTGAAACGGAGGTGAAATAACCAACCAGATAGCTGTTCTTGAGCCGCTGCAGTCGACACTACCGCGGCTATTGGCGCGGTAGTGTGGACTGTCGCGGCTAAAGAGGCAGTTATCAGCACGTTTCATCGTGCTTGAAACCGTTCTCCCACGACCTTTAACCACCTTTTTCGTGGTTTTAACTGCTTGTCCACGTCAGCACACGTTCTATCTCTGATATGCTGCTACGTGGGCTTCAAATAATCATTGTACAACTGTCTTGTAACCACCGCAGCACTCCCCTATAATAGCCGCGGCACCATAGATTGTCGCGCTATAGCCGCGGCACCATAGGCTGTCGCGCCTTAGCCGCGGCACCATAGGCTGCCACGCCTTAGCCGCGGCACCATGTCCTGTCGCGCCTCAGTCGCGCCGCCGTGTGCTGCCTGTTGGTGTGTACATTGTTCTTCTGTGTTATCTCGCTTCCTTTGAACGATCCCCTTTGATTAAGAGAATGGCGTTTATCGTCTTCTCTTTGTCTTGGATGGTATTTGGATGCCTATAAGCATTTTTTGACGCCTACAGATACCCCCTCCAAAGTATCTCAGACTTATCATTTTGGAGAGGAGTCTGGGACACTTTGGATATGATAAGTTTTCCTTAGAATTTCTTCAGTACTTTGTTGAGGAAGTTGCGTAACATAGTCTACGGATGGCTTCAATTCTTGACTTTTTCATCTTTTAGCCTATTCAGTGCTTTGTAGAATAGCTAAAATTCCTCCGGTGCTGCGTTTATCGCGTGGCCGTTGTCGAAGTCTTTAATTTGAACTGCCGTCGAAGAATGGAGAAATAGTTTATACTCATATGCTCTATTGGAGTGTTCAGGAAATAGTTTAACCTCATATACCCATTGGGAGGTAATCAGGTTATTCTTAAGAATATGCTGAGTAATATTCTCCAGAAACTTCCTGTTGAGGGTAGGGAAACAGTTTAAACTCGTGCACCCATTGGAGTAATATGGTCTCTTTTTTTGTTGGTAGAGATGAACCCGCAATCGGAGAGGAAGAATTTTATATTCTATCTCGTGATCTCTTGTTTGTTGGTAGAGTTGAACCCAAAATCGGAGAGGAAGAATTTTATATTCTATCTCCTGGTCTCTTGTTTGTTGGTAGAGATGAACCCAAAATCGAAGAGGAAGAATTTTATATTCTATCTCCTGGTGCAAAAGAAACTCGAAGTGGGATCTCCACTTAGAGAATCAATTTTATATTCTATCTCCTGGTGCAAAAGAAACTCGAAGTGGGATCTCCACTTAGAGAATTTGGATTGATTTGAATAATTCTAACTGTCATAAGGTTTGATTATCCAATTCAAAGTTGGACATCTCGTTCATGGAATGAATCGAGAAGAGATTTTGGTTGTGGTCCTAACTGTAGTAAGGTTTGACCAAGTGGGAGTTTTGAGACGATCCTAACTGTTTAAAGGTTTGATCGTTCAATTTGTGGACCTCTTGTTCATGGAATGAATCGAGAAGAGATTTTGGTTGTGGTCCTAACTGTAGTAAGGTTTGACCAAGTGGGAGTTTGGTACGATCCTAATAACTGTAGTAAGGTTTGACCAAGTGGGAGTTTGGTACGATCCTAACTGTTTAAAGGTTTGATCGTTCAACTTGTGGACCTCTCGTTCATGGAGGGAATCGAGAGAGGATTTTTTAGCTTTGGTCCTAACTGTAGTAAGGTTTGACCAAGTGGGAGTTTTGAGACGATCCTAACTATTTAAAGGTTTGATCATTCAATTTGTGGACCTCTCGTTCATGGAGGGAATCGAGAGAGGATTTTTTTAGCTTTGGTCCTAACTGTAGTAAGGTTTAACCAAGTGGGAGTTTTGAGATGATCCTAACTGTTTAAAGGTTTGATCATTTAATTTGTGGACCTCTCGTTCATGGAAGGAATCGAGAGGGGATTTTGGTTTTGGTCCTAACTGTTTAAAGGTTTGACCAAATGGGGACTTGAGACGATCCTAACTGTTTAAAGGTTTGATCGTTCAATTTGTGGACCTCTCGTTCATGGAAGGAATCGAGAGGGGATTTTGGCTTTGGTCCTAACTGTTTAAAGATTTGACCAAATGGGATTTTGTGAGGGAAGATTGATCCAACGAAGTGATCGAATCTCATCTCAGCAAAAAAGTATTCGGAAATCACCGTGGGGATATAGTGTTTATCACTTTGTTTGTAATGATCGGGTTATCCCTAAGAAAATTACATATAGCAGTCTTCCGAGAACTTCTCGTTACATGAACCATCCACCCCCAGCTTTCCTTACGAAACTGGGTCTAACATTATATTCAGCTACATGACCGGGTTATCCTTAAGAATATTACTTGTAAAAATTCTCCAGGAACTTCCCGTGAAAGAAAGGAAATAGTTTAGACTCATATACCTATTGGAGTATCGAGGAGCAGTTTATACTCGTATACTCTTTGGAGTGTTGAGAAGCAGTTTATACTCGTATACTCTTCGGAGTGACATGAAGAAGCAGTTTATACTCGTATACTCTTCGGAGTTAGGGGAAAACAGTTTATACTCGTGTATCCTATGGAGTTAAGGAGAACAGTTTATACTCATGTATCCAATGGAGTTAGAGTCGTCTTTACTTGGCTTGTTCCGCCGTTATGACACCGGAGTCAATTAAGGCTTGGATTTTATTTTTGAGTCCAAAGAAAATCTCGGTGGGATGAAGAACCCTTCTATGGTATGCACAGTAGT